CCCCTCCTGGCCTGCAGGAAAGGCAGAGCAGGCAATGTGAGATACTGCTACATTCATTGTAACCAAACAAGGTAAATAACCTCAGGAGAACGCTGCCTGCTGTAGTGCTGCAGATAGTTTACTTTAAGATCCCTGGCATGATATAAGCAGCTGTATATCTCAATATGGCTTTGATGGTCAAATGCTCGAGTTTGTAAACTAGCCTGTGCTCGTTACGGTGTCTGGAGAAGCCATGTTTGGGAAAGGTTGCGCTGTGTTTTAGAGCCAGTAGTATCTGTATTATGATTTGCTTTATATTTTATTTCCGATGACGCTTTGGGTGAAGCTGTGGTGCAGAAAATCCCATTTAACTTTATAACAAATTAAAGTAAATACATTTATTTTCTCAGTTAGAGCTTTATTAGACTACAGTGTTTTGTGGAATTATGCATAAAAAAATTGGGCTGGTAGCAAAACAATGGACTGCCGTGGACGGGTGCCGCAGCAACACGTAAATATTTGAGCCACCAAAAATAAATTCCAATCTTAAACAATTATTATCAGTTTAAGTGTGTTTAGGAACATTTTTCATATTCCACAATTGTACCCAGCCATTGGACAGCCCATTCAGATGGAGACAAAGAGACACAGATGCTGCCGGTTTACCGTTTCCTTGATGTTTGCTTGTGTTATTATTTGACTTTGGTGATTCAAAACTTGCCCTTTAAACGCAACAAGCAACAACACAAACAAAAAATACAGTCATAGGTGTGGAAGACCAGGAAAACTCTGTGTTCTGTGATGTACAATTACTGTTTTTATCAATGAAGCCTAGTGCTTTGAGAATATACCATAATGGCTTCAGTTCCCTCTATGGCTGCCTCTTGTCAAGGTAAAGCTGTGAAACTATACTAAATATATCGTGCACTTGAACAACAGATATTGGTTTTTCAGGAACACCTTTTTGAAGGTGCCTTAAATACGTTGTATAATAAATAAAGATGTTCTTTTTCATAAAGCCCTCTCCACCCTTATCCAAAGGAGTTGTAAACTAATAGCTGTTGTGTCTCTCCTCGACATAAATGATTAACTTCTTAGAACATCCCCCCTCGTTTTTTTCCCTTTTCTGTATTTTCTTCAGTTTCCCCTTGTGTCTGATGTGTAAACTTGCCCAACAGCGTTTCCTCAGTGCTCGCTGCCTCGCATTATGTAAAAATTAAACGCTTGGCTTCAGTTCCTTAAAGTGGACCTATCATGCTATATTTGAAATATATATTGTAGGGCCATACCTATATAAAACATGTCTGTGAAGTTTTTTTTTCAAAATACCAAACAGATCATGCATTTTAGCCATGCCTCATTTCGCTCTATTTGCTCTATTCCAGCCCTGTCTTCACAAGGGCTGATTCTGTGGCAAATGAGCTGCAGCTGACCACGCCCCCCTGCAAAGGAGGGGGGCGAGGCTTACCATGCCGTTACCATGCTGTTACCATGCTGTTACCATGCCACGCAACCTCTCATTCCCCTGATAGGTGGAGAGTTGCCCATATAGGCGGAGCACCCCGTTTCTGACGTCAGAACAATCTCAAATCTGTATCAGTCTGTATCAGATCCGTTGCAGCCCCGTTTTTAGAGATTTGGGTATGGAGGAAAAGAGAGAGGGTTGTGTTTTCTGACACACCGGGGACACATATTCATGTATAAAAGACGTACAAAAGTGCATTTTGCATGATAGGTCCCCTTTAACGTAGCTTACCTAACAGTAGCTATTTTGTCCGTTCCTTCGGTGCTGTGCTTTAAATGCTGTGTCTCTGGTGTGTTTCTTAGGAAACAGGAGAGTGGCGACGGCATGAGGACGTTGGAGCTGCCCTACGTGGGAGAGGACGAGGCTCTCTCCTGATACAGAGGCTTCCTCACGCACCGTGTTATCTTCCTGCCTGCAAACACACCCCTTTACTCACAGTTTTATACTGGCAGCTCACACTTGTGTACATTTCCTGAAAGATGGACGTACGGCGGGCGCAGAAAAAAAAAGAAGTTAAGGATCTATGAACAATTTTAAAGATTTCCTCTCCTCTTAAAAAGGCTCAGTTTGCAGGTTGTGGGTTGGATTGTTCCATGAGAGCATCCTCTTCATCGTTTATTGCCTGACCCACTCTGCCCCTCTTCATCCCTCATGCGTATATAGTCCCAGCATGCTTTGTCTCAGGCTTCAACTGTACAGAGTTTTTCCTTGTAGTCTAGCCACTTGTGTTCTCCTTGTCTTTACTCGACAATTCTTTCAGGTATACAGGGCACGGGAACAGGCGATGGTGATGGGTGTTATGAGGAAGGATGGTTGTCTTCATCATCACCTCGACTTCCTCTGTAGGAGAGCAGGTTTTCTTGACGATGATTGTCTGGTTCTCTCTGCTTCAGAGGAGCAGGGCCCAGTTTTGTAACATATTTAAAAGTGAAGAATCTATACAGTTTTCCCAAAAAGAAAAAAAGGGGAGTGAAAAAATGTTTACTTCATTGAATGCATGTGTTTACGTTCCCAATGCAAACACCCTATAAGCTATGTATGATACATTTGCACGCTCATACTTGTTTGACGCAATTTTCACCGTCTCTTTATGAATTTACTACAATCAATAGAAAGCTTTAAAATAGTTGATATATAGTGTTTTGTGAGCCATCACATTCATCATACTGCTTATGAGATAGCATAGAAGATAATTAGATCATTTCTTTTGCAAAGCAAGTTCTTTTAGTAAAGCTTTTGATATGATTTTAGGTGTTTGCTGTATATTTTTTAAAGTGATAGAGTTACAACAAATTGAGTAAGGATGGTACTGATTTACCAAATGCACATGAGGAAAAAAACGAATGTGTTGGTAGAAACAATCTGTCTGCAATGGTTCAAATGTGTTTGTTTTTTACTTTTCCAGTTATATGGTTGTGTGTTGTGATGCTGAGTTTCAACTGTGTCATGTATTTGTTCCACTTCCTAAGGTGGATGTTTTCTAATGTAGTTAAAAAAGAAAATCATAACTATTGAACCTCAAGTTGAAATTGTGAATTACTGGTGTTTTTTTCCAAACTGCACATTTTCAGGACACCAAAAAACGTCAAATTATGTCTACCTTTGTAAAGTAGAGTACAGTAAAGAAAAACGAACCTTTAAACTACTTTTGTTCTTAGAGCTGGCCACTAATGTACTTCTTGAGTAGGAGGCATAGTGCAGCTGCAGGCTCTTTGTACAAATCTATGCATGATGTAGAAAAAAAACAGTCATCTTTAATCAAGGCCGCCCTGCAAATATTTCAAATGAATTGTAAATTACTTTTGAATTGATGTTTTACTTTTAGAAGATCCCAAAGCAGTAAAAACATTTTTTCACCTTTTCTTCCCCCTTTGTTTTCTAAAATACATTAGTGTAAATGTAGATAAAGCATCTCCAACATAGAATATTGATACAATATTAAATATAACATGTAATGCTTCCACATTTCAATTATTCAGCA